TCTCTAGGACGTCTGTCCTCTTTTCTTTTTCTGTCTTTAAAAACAACTCCAAACAAGCTGCCCGCTAAAGCTTGTTGGAATGAGAGGGCTTTTTAGAACTAGAAAAGGATAAAGTAAAAAGAGAATATGGAAGAGGCTAGTTATGCTAAGAAGATGATGAGGGAAGATGAAATAGGCTACACATTTTATTTCTCATTTTGCTTGATACAAGTTCAAAAACACAATCACAATTTATACTAGTAGTACACCATTAGGATTGTGACAACATATTTTAATCTAATAATTACAAATAACTCTCTAGATAATTTTTCTATTTTTTATCATAAAGGACATTAAATGCTTTTCTAGACTTTTCTAGAAGTTACTCTAGAATAGGATTTTAACACTTTCTACAGAAGATTATTTTAGAATATGATTTTCGTTTTGACAAAAAAAGCCAGATAAAAATAGTCCAAATTTAAGTTTAACTTACAACAAAAGCAAACTCAAGGAAAACTATTTTAAAGTTGTCTCCTAGTCCATTTTTTAGAACATGTGACTTAATAATTATCTACATATAAGGGCAACGACCTAGTTGACCCCGGAACAACATATATATAACTAGATCATCATCTATCATTTTTTTAACTACGCAACCTAATTCAATGAGATCTTCTTATATGTTTGGACCAATTTTCACTAGATAATTTCAAATCCAATAGTTTAGTTCTTTTTCTTTCAGCAATCTCCTGCTTTGGTCATCCTTATTCTCTAAGTATCTCAAAATAAATAGTTTTTACTTTTCTCTAACTCACAATTGTTGAAGCCCACAAAGTGAACACCGAAGTATTCATCAACTATAGCTATGCATACGAACAACAAAGAAAGATAACAGGGAGAAATCATGCTTCATTATATTCTTCCTCATTGAATACAAATAACAAATGTGTATTTATATCTACAAAACTTTAAGTATAAAGACGGTAATGCCCACGGTGGATACATAAAGCTGACAAGGTAGAATAATGAAATGTAGTGGCAACAGATTCTGACCAACGAGCATAGGACAACCGCTTCAGGTAATTATTATGGTTTGTGGTGTAATGGAGATGATGTGTTTTTATCACTGCCCTTCAATTTGATGGGAGGTAGAACCAGCAACTTGTCTCGAAGATGAGTGATCCTGGATCTATAAGATTTGGTGAAGAAGTCCGAAAGCTGATCAGTGCTGGAAAAATGATGAACTGTGATATGCGGAGCTTGAATGCAATCCCGAATGAAATGATGATTGATCTCAATGTGTTTTGTGTGTGCATGAGAAATTGGGTTGCAAGCAATAGACGCTGACATGTTGTCACCGAAAAGTGGTCTCAGCTCAAGCGGTATGGAGAATTCTTGACATAAAAGCTAAATCCAAATGAGATCAGTAGCAACAACAGCAAGAGTGATATTCAGCTTCACTAGAAGAATCGGCAATAGCGGATTGCTTTTTGACTGACCAGGAAATAAGAGTGTTGACAAGAAAAATACAATATATTATAGTAGATTTTTTATCCTAAGTGTCACCAACCCAGTCTGAGTCCGAGTATGCTAAAAGTGCTAGTTCAGTTTTCAGAAGAAGAAGACTAATATCTATGGTGCCTTTGAGATAGCGAAGGATCCGCTTTAGAAGCTGAAAATGACTGAATAATGGTTGGTGCATATGCTGGCACAATTTGTTAATGGCAAAAGCTATATTTCAGTCGTGTGTTGGTGAGGTACTAAAGAGATTCTGCTAATTGCTGAAATAGAGCAGGTAGGCTATATGGAACTTGTAAATATGTGGCCAGACAACAAATGGGTGGAAAGTGGTTTACAGGAGACAATAGCAGCAATAGTAAGTATGTTTGTAATGTAACTTTTCTGAGACAAATGATAGCCAGTAGGAGATCTTGAGAAATCAATGCTAAGAAACCGTGAATGAGCTCCTAGATTGCATATTTGGAACTATTTCTGAAGTTATTGTATAAGAGTGGAAATGAATGTGTAATCATTGCAAGAAATCAGGATAATGTCAGCATAGATGAGTAAATAAATACGTACACTATTACCGTGGAGAATGGAGGAATCAACTGAACTAGTGTAGAATCATTGGGAAATGAGGTAGGAGGATAAACTAGCAAACTAGTGTCTTTGTGCTTGTTTGAGGTCATAGATGACTTTATGTAGTCAGAAAACATGATTTGATTTTTGTGGATCTTAAAAACCTTGAGGATGAGCCATATATATTATTTCGGTGAGGTTGCCATGAAGGAAAGCATTGACGACATCAAGTTGAAGAATGGACCAACCAAAGTGTAATGCAACAATGATAAAAATACGAATTGTAGGGAACTTTGCAACATGACTAAAGGTTTCATGACAATCAATGTCAAACTTTGTAGCGAGCAATGGTGTCGTTAGCATATCGTTTGATTTTGTAGACCCACTTAAAAAAACAATGACCCGCTGATTATTTGGTGGAGGAATTAAAGATCAACTTTCTTGTGATTGAAGAGTATGGAATTCAGAAAACATGGCTTGATGTCATTCAAGAACTTTTGCTACTGAATTATTACAGGTTGGAGTTGAGTAGAAGGTATGGTGGAGATCCAGAATGTTGCAAGGTTTGAGAGAGCCAATGTAAAGATGGGTGGTCATGGAATGACAAGGAGGTAAGGGGAGAGATGGAGGAGCAAAAGAGATTGAGGTAGTGGGAGAAATAATTGGGAGTGATTGAGGAAGAAGTAGATGAAGAATAGTTTGGTGTAGGTTGAGGTAAAATATTTTTTGAAAGGGAATTTGGTGGATAATGTTGAGATGGTAGAGGAATAATAGGAGGGAAGGGAGGTAAGGGGTGTGATGAAGTTGTTGTAGGAATAGGACTGTCAGAAGGACAAACAGAAGTTTCATCAAAATTTACATGCCTAAAGAAAATGGTATATCCGGTTACTGAATTGTAGCATTTGTAGCCTTTTTAGGCATAGGCATAGCTTAAGAAGATGCAAGGGGTTGAACATGGAGCAAGCTTATAAGAGGTATAGGGTCAAACATGGATAACATTGACATCCAAATGAACCAAGGTGAGTATAAGAAGGAGAAATTTTATATAATAGTTGATAAGGGGAGGTATACAATGTGGTGGTGGAAGTAAGGCCGTTGATTAGACAGACCATTGTAAGAATAACATCAACCCAAAAATGAGCAGATAGTTGTGAATCAACTAGTAGCATACGAGCAGTGTCAAGAAGAAGCTTGTGTTTTTGTTCATCAATATCATTTTGTTATGGAGTGTAAGGGCAAGTAAATTGATGAGATATACCATATTTTAATTAGGACTTGAGTGTATTGTTAAGAAATTCTCCACCTCCATCAGTTCGAAGAGTGCATATGGGATGATTTAAATGTTTTTCAATTAAATTTTTAAAGTGAATGAAGGTATGACGAACTTCAAATTTATACTTAAGTGAAAAGTACCACGTATAATGAGAGTAGTCATCAATTAACACAAGATAGTAATGAAAACAATCATGGGATATAATGGTGGAATGATTCCAAACATCTGCATCAATTAATTCAAGGGGGAACATGGGAGAGATGGGTTGATTTAGCAAATGGCAATCTGCGACTCTTAGCTATAGCATACGAATTATAGAATTTTTTGAAAGGAAAAATAAATAAAGCAAAAAATTGTTTTGTAACAACAACAACTATAGAAGAGTTGGGATGCCCCAAACATCGATGCCAAAGCACCGCAGACGACTGAGGGGCGACAGAAGCAGTAGCAACATTGATGTTTGAAGGTCATGTTGAGGAGGAGACTAGATATAGTCCATTATGGCAAGGACTTTGGAGAAATATGTGATTGGTCTTCCGATCCTCAACAATAAAGCTATTTTTGTCAAACAAAACAACAAAATTATTGTCATTAACGAGTTTAGAAATGGATAGAAGTTTATGCAAGAGATGTGGTACGTGAAGTAATGGATGAAGAGAGAGCTTACGAGAAGGACTGGGGAGTAAACCTTTTTCGGAATGAAGAATGAGAAGAGGAGTACATTTTCGACAAGAACCTGATCTGAGCCAGTATAAGAATTAGCTTGCTAAAGGGATTGCGAACCATGAGTGAGATGAACGGGTGCATCACCATCTAGGTACCAAGGTGAGGTAATAGAGTCAGCAACCAAGGCAACTTTCTGATTTGTTGTAGATGGTGAGCATTGCAGATTAGTTTGATGCCAACAAAAGGAGGAGGAATGGCCCCTTTTGCACAAATTTGGCAATCACCAAAGAATCGAGGTTGACGTGTGTGGACTGAAGTGTTGTGAAAGCTTGATTTGGCACATCCACGAGAGGAGAAGAACCGGCCTCAACCTCGACCATGAGTGGAAGTAAGGGCAAAATGAGGGTATGTTGTGATTGAAGAATCAATTACCGTGAGATAATTGATAGCATCTATAGCTTGATTTACCTCTTCACTTATATAAGAAAATGAAGATCATCGAGGCTAATGGGAGTAAGCTTGGTCCTTATAACTATTTTGAAAGCTTGATACGTTTTAGGAAGTCCATTTAAAATGTAGAGAATGATATCCTTGATATCAACAGAGCCTCTAGTAGCAACTTATCAACCAGGTTTTTAACAGTCGAAAGGTACTCAATCATGGATTTATTTTGCAAAGAGAGAGCATGTGTTTTTTTCATGTTAAATCGTACTGTTCTTTCTTTTCCATGACATTTTCTCTTTCTTGTTTGGTTGTTTGTGCTTGCTACGTGGTTTTACTTCCCCAATAAAAAACAAAAAATAATATGTAACAAAAAAGCAATAGCCAAATGAAATTGTAATTATTATCTAAAAAGCAAAGCAACAAAAAAAACTATCCCAAATAGACCCATGTCTTATTTTTACAAATTGGTTTTTTTATATTAATTCATACAGCTTATCATCCTAAATCAATCGTGGGTGATTAATATATATAATTGTTAGTTGCAGATCCACACATGTTTTTTTTAATGTTTTGAATAAAAAGAAGAATTAGAAAATGTATAATTTAGAAAGTAGAATGAAAGTAATGAGTTAATCATCAACAACTGCATATGCTGTAAAGCTTCACAGCTTACTTGATAGTTTGTAATATGGAGCATTGGTTCATTTGTTTTCCTTTTTTTCTGTACTCATTTTTTTAATAACCTTCTTCAGCATCCATTTCGCTCGACTTGCTGCTTTGAATTATTTTTTATTCCTCTGAAACCACTCGCGAATGCCCTTCTCTGATTCTGAGAGTAAATCCTCACTTTTACCCTTTGAAGAGCCTTCGACAAACTCAAAGTAATCCTTGTAGTTTCGATTGTAATAATCATCCAGCCTCTGAATGCCAACACAAAAAAAATATAAAGCAAGAAAGCAGAACTGAAAATCATTTCTCTGTCTGAAACAAAAGTAATTTATCATTGGTTCAAAGCTAACCTCTTTGTCATACTTTGCCTTGTTCTCTCTTGACCTCTTCTGATACTCTGACAATTGAGAAAACTCACATATCTATGTTAGTTAAAAACAAACAGTTACGTATATGCATAATACAGTGTATATGTTGGGAATTAAAAAAGAACTAATTCAAATCTTTGAGAGGGTAAATAGAATAGAAGAAACATCAAAGCACAGAACATATAAAAAATTTTGGTTCATTAAATGAAAGGCTACGTCATATTGCTGTCATTATAGATTTTGATATGTGATATGAATGTGAAATTAGTCGGTTGTGATAAGCAGCTGTTCTTATTCATTTCTACATCAAGAACAGCCATCATACTCTGCAAATTATTCTTAAACTCTCATCTTTAACAACCAATTCATCTCTAACCACTGGATTGTAACTGTCTGTGCTGGCAATGCAGATATTCTCTCCCTTACCTGTACATGTTTTATTAGGATCCTGCACTGTACGAAGCATAAAGATGCAAGCAATGATGTACTTTCTCTAGCTCTCTCTTTATTTCAATTTATGTATATTCCCTTTCTCTCAGATTATCTAACGATGCAGTTAGTTCCTCGCTTCTTCATTTTATCAGAGAATAAGCTTGATAACCTAACTATAGACGATTCTGTAATGTAATGGGAGACGCCTCCATTCCTCTACCATTGAAATTCTTGATGTCAAATCTCAAACGCATATCACACATTCAGCTCACAAGTGAAAATTATTCAATCTACAGACTTTAAATCCTCAAAATGTTCACCGCAAATGACTTTGAAAGGTTCCTCAATGGACCAACCACCTGTCCGCTCAAGCAGACCGTATTTTAGTAGGTGAATCTCTTCAAACTTTGAACAGAATACATAGCAACTACTTGAGTAAACTCTTGTTAGTGCCCTTTACTCCACTATCAATGCATCCACTTTACCTGATATTCTGAATCATAATTTGAGACCTGAAAAATCCTTGAAAAATGTCTATGGCCAATGAATCGATCAAGAGTCTTACCCTAATGCAAACTGGTCGAGAACCAATTCCATTGATCACAAATCCAAAATAGGTCACTTAACCTTTTTTTTAATCCAATATCGTCTCATCTCAGGGAGTGTTAAGAAACAACAAACAATAGGAAAATCATCCATTGAGGCCAAGCATAGAACATTGGCAACAGCTACAACTGAGATAACAAGGCTCCACCAACTTCTTCAAGACTTTCAAATTGTGACAACACTTCAGCTATGGTTCTAATTAACAATTTTCATGCCAAAATAAAACATTTCGAAATAAATTATCATTACATTTGAGAACGCATACACTCCAAAGAAATAATGGCTCTCCAAATCAGCTCTAAGGATCAACCAACAGATATTCTCTCAACATTACTGTATCTTCCTCTTCTCTCAAATATCTAACAATATATGTTTCCCACTTCTTCAGATTTCACTAAGGCTTTCGTCATGAAGATTTACCGTCCTAATACGGGAGTAATTAAAAGAACATACCGACTCAAATAGCAAAATACCTTGAAGAAGTGCATTTTTTGAATCGCTGCCTTGCGGTCCTGCTGCTGTTGCCACAAGGAAGGAAAAGAGAGTTCTTCTTCCGCAGGGCTGATTTACCTTGAAGGGATTGAAGGGAACCAAGGAAGCTACTGATGTAGAAGTTAATGGCCGGGTGGTAGAAGCTGTAATTCCATGAGGTAGGTAAACATTGAAGCTCATCTTTATTTCTTTTGTTCCCCGGAATGGAATGGTGTTGGGGGAGTAGAGCAGCAGCAGCTGTATTCCATAGCCAAACGTGGACCACAGCTTAGAATTAGATAACAAGGAAATGCCAGCAATGCAAGGGTTTAGGGTTTGTTGGTACTTGGTAATCAAAGCTCTCAATTAAAAAGTTTTAGTTGAAGTCTTATGCACATGTTGTATATGAGTTTGTGTTTGTGCTTTTTTTTTTCTTTCTTTTTTTTTATATGAGTTTGTGTTAATTGACCTAAATATCCAAAAAGAAATTAAAAAAAAAAAATCCCAATGGTGCACAAGGATTGGGGCTCACTTTTCAATACTACAATTGTATCTCTAAGAATGATGGTTTTAGGTTTCGTTTGTCATAACTTTATTATTGCTTCATAAAGTAATTTTTTGGTACAAAAAATTTTGAACTAAAAATTTTATACTAAAAAGTTATTTTAGGAAGCACTAATAAAACTATCACAAATAAAACCTAATGAGCGAGTAAGGAGATCAGTAAGCAACTAAGGAGAAGAGCTCTAGAAAAAAAAAAAGAGAAAAGAAGGAAGAGAGAGGAAGAGGGAGAGAGAGAAAATACTTTGGGTGTTTTCACCTGTCGCTTCTATTACAGATTTGGTTCTAATTGATGTAAATCATTGTATTCTTACTTATGTTTTCTATAATTTTAATTTATAGGTTTTTTTCTCTCTCTTAAATATGTCAAAATTACATTTTTCTCATAATTTATCAAATTTTACCATGTAACTTGTAGGTATATAATAGATATGATTCTCTTGAACATGTTAAGAATATATTTTCTCATAATTTACCAAACTTTCATCACGTAACTTTTTGGTATATAATAGATATGATTCTTACGAGTATTTTGACTGTAATTTTATTAAATTGTATCAGATACATTGATAGTTAAGATTTTTTTTGAAGTAAATAAATAGTGTATAGATTTTTCCTATAATTTTATAAATCAATACATTTCATGCATTATATTCACTTACATTGTATAGAAAAAACAACATGACCGATAGATATAATATTTACATGTAAGTAAGAAAGATTGAATGTTAACACTATAATTAATACATGTTTATAGAATGATCCCCTATATTTTGAATAGTTTCTTTTAGAACTGGCTCAAAAAGATCTTGTCTCGATCTGATACAATCAATTTTCGGATCTCATATAGTCCCACCACCTCCCTCATGAAAATCGTTACTATTGATATTATTGTATAAGGGTGGCGAAGGGGGATGAAATGGACATACTTGCTTAACTAATCCACTACTGTTAGTATCATAGTGTATCCTTCAGACTTTAGCAGCACTTCAATGAAGTCCATGGTCACCAGCTCCCACACCTTTTCTGATAAAGCTAACAGCTGGAGGAGACCTCCTGGAGACATCGTTAAATGCTTACGCCTCTAGCATATATCACAGCAAGCCACCATCTTCTCGACATCCTTTTGCATACCCTCCCAATATAGCTCTGCAGAGAGTCAGTGATATGTCTTTTTGACCCTCGAATGTCCCCTAATGATTGTCCCATGAAACTTCTGAAGCAAGTAGGGAATGTATGAAGAGGTCTTTTGAAGCACAAATTGCCCATAATGAAGTAACTTCTATCTCACTACTGAACATCCTAGATAGCTATCCTTGTTTTTCCCTAGCTTCTCCTTAATTTTCCTTAACCCTACATCATGTTCACTTTCTCTCTGTAATGCTTCCCAAGTCAAACACCAAGGGCACAAACAATACCATTATTTGGGGTTCCCCCATGCACCTGGATAAACCATCTGTTATCTTATTTTTAACTCCAAGTTGATACTGAATCTTGAAGTCATAGCCTAATAACTTGAAGAGCCACCTTTAATGCTCCTCAATGACCATTCTCTACTCCAACAAGTACTTCAGATTCCTCTGGTCAGTTTTGATGATGAAATATCTTATTAATAAATAAGGCTGTCATTTCTGAATGACCAATACTATTTCCATTAGCTCCCTATCATAGACTGACTTGAGCCTTACCCTAGCCGTCAACACCTTGCTAAAATAGGCCACTAGTCTCTGGTTCTGCACGAGTACTGCTCCTAACCCAAAACCTGAGGCATTTGTCTCAACTAAAAAAGGTTGGCTAAAATTTGGAAGAGCTGATACTAACACACTAGTCATAACCTTCTTCAACTCCTTAAAAGCATGGATGGTGGACTCTTCCCACTTGAAGGCATCCTTCTTGAGTTTTTTTATCAATGACACTATTATAGACCTCGTAGCCTTTTATAAATTTTTAATAGTAGCATGTATGTCCCAAGAATTCTCTCAACTCATTTAAAGTCTTAAGTATATGCTACCTGATTATGACCTCAATCTTACTTTAATCAGCTCCCACTCTATTTCCCACATACCTTAAATACGCTACTCTAGACTAGGTGAAAGAACACTTCTTCTAATTAGCAAATAAAGAGTGCTCTCTTAAGATAGACAGTATAACTCTTAAATGCTCTAAGTTCACATTCTCAAACCTGTTATATACTAATATATCATCAAAAAATATCAGTGCATACCTTCAAAGGTAGACCTGGAATACCCTATTCATCAGAGACTGGAAAGTGTCTAGTGTGTTGGTGAATCTAAACAGCATCAGCAAGAACTCATAGTGTCCCTTTTGCATCCAAAAAGTAGTCTTGTGGGTGTCTCATGGTCGCATTTCGATCTGGTGGTACCTGAATTTCATGTTAATCTTGGAGACTATAATAAATTCATATAATTCATCTAACAACCCAGCAATTATTATCATGAGAAATTTGTCTACTATAATTTACTTATTCATGGCATGGTAGTATACACATAATATTTATCTCATATCCTTCTTTTTTACCAATAATATAGAGTTAAAAAAAGGGCTCACATTGGGCTTGATAATTATAGCTTCAAGCATCTCCCTAATCAGTCTCTCAATTGCATTCTATCGGGTCTGAAGGTAGTGGTATGGCCAGACACTAATGGGGGAGACTCCTTCCTTCATAACGATATATTGCTCATGCTCTCGGAAGGGGTGACATTCCCTGGGGAAGTTGGAATACCTCCATGAATTGCATAATAAGTGATCGATTAATGTATGGAGTGTCCTCTACATCCTTTATTCTCCTCCCTCCAAACTCTGATGATCCACTAAGAATCCCCCTCCTTCCCCTTGTAGGACGCAAACCAAGGTTTTCAAACAAACCATTACTTTGGATAAGGAATGTATCCCTTAATTACCACCTTTCTCCCCTCTACCTAAATATCTATAACTAATGCATTCCATTTTATCTTGGTTTCCCCCAAAGTTTGTAGCCACTTTATTCCCAAAATCAAATCAATTCTCCCCAATTCCAAAGAAAGAAAATCCTCCCTAATGTGAATCTCATGCAACTCTACCACCAAACCTTTACATATCCATCTACTATTCTCCGCCTTTCTTGCTCCTATTATCACTTCAAAACATCAGTTTCTACCCATTTTATCTCTAGTTTATTTACCATTTGATTCGATATGAAATTATGAGCAGCCCCACTGTCCACAAGGATCTCCTTACCTTTCCTCTTTTCTATCCCCTCACCTTTATAATGTGATTCAGGTTGAATCCCACTATAAAGTTCAATAAAACTTAAGCCACCTCCAAGCATACAAGCTCTTCTTCCTCTTCTTCCTCCCTCACTACCTCTACCTCATCCACCTCCTCCTCACCATACACCAAGAGAACCTACAAGGTATAATTTTTACATCTATATCCATGTGTAAATTTCTCATTGCATTTGTAACATAACCCCTTTTTTCCCTCATATAATGTACCTCTGCCTTTGTAAGACACTTTAAATTGCTTCCTTTATGAATTCTAGTGCTTTTCTCCTTTTGTGATTCCCTCTAAGAGACACCATTTGGGTCATCAATGCCAAGGTCATGGAGGTATTCCTGTAAATGCCTCCCATATTATTGCTTCTTCTGGCATTTTCCCTCTGATGTTCCTCTTCTACCCTTTGTGTTAGTCCCATCGTCTCCCTCAACCCCCTTGTCCTAAACACCTTGAGTTCTACTGTATGTCTTCCTTTAGACCCTTCATGAAATTTTCCTCCAAACCTTTCTCTAAAATACCTTTCAGCCTACCCGATAACATCTTAAATTTTTATTGTTACTCAAAGATTGTCCCATCCTGGGTCAATGCATAAAATTTTTCATAGATGTATCCTTCCCAGATGGCTCAAAAATGTTTCAACAATCCCTCTTTAAATTATCTCCATGAGTGCAGTAGTTATCTAGCCTCTCTCCTCTAAAACTATGTTAAGGCTTTGCCCTCCAAACATAATCCTACCATTATGAGATTTTCCCCCTTCGTAAGCCCATTGATAGCAAAGTCATGCTCCACCTGATACACCCATCCTTGAGCATCTTCTGTGAGACCTCGTTCCCTTACTGTTCCTCTCTAGCTTGGATTATCCTCCCAGGATCGTCCTGGATGATAGTGAGATCGCCGACATCTGCACTGTTCAAGAATACCAGTCCTGAGATAAGTTCTGGGAACCGTCCAAGGACGATCTATTTTGGTCTGATCGCCCTGGGACGATTTGGCGATCGGCCACAGGAGCGATCAGCCTTATGATATAAGAAAAATCAGCTCGTTTTCGAGGAGAGAGAAAATCATTTTTAAATCAAAATATGATTATTAGAGAGAGAGAAAGAGAAAGGGAAAAAAGAGAAAAGCTGGATTTTGGGAGGGTCGCCGGAAAAGCACTTTTCGTCCGACGCTGCTGTTGAGAGAAAAAGTGTAGATCTTACTGTTAAGGACTACTCCGAATCCTATTTTTCTGTTATTCAAAATATTATGAGTTTTGACCGGAGGTTGTGATCATGTTTAGTGTTTATCGTAGTCCGAATTTTGGACGTGATTTCGATTTGACGACAACTTTCACCGCACAACTTTTAGTATGTTATAGATATGTGGACTATTGTACTCGATTTGAGTATTGTCTTGCGATGATTTTCACCGTGGTCGGAATTGATTCTACGCGATTTTTAATCGAATAGAAAAATATCAGGATCGTGATTTGATTTGGTTTCTCATAGGACAATAGTCTTGTATTGATGTCTGGATATTCTATTGTAATCTTGAAGAGATTTGACTTTGTGCCTTTTTGCAGGATTTTGTTGTGTAAATTGTATAGACTGCCGTTACGCTGCCGATTTCGTAGATTTCTGATTTGCTTGGAATTGATAGATTAATTGATATGCTTCATGATATTGATTATATGAGTTGTTATAATGCTTTAAATTGATTATTTAATTGATATCTGATTGACTTATTGAACTACATCACTCTGGAAACTAGCACGTATAACCTGGTTTGAACATTGGTTGGAAGATTGATATTGACAACTGGACAGGATGGTGGGCCGACGGCTTTTCTTTAAACCTTGATCTTGATATAATGATTGGGAGTCATAAGAGTTTATAGAATGCCGACGGCGAAAAGAGTGACGCTCTTATTGATAGACCAATGTATGGATATCTTACACAGCAATATGGATTCTACAACAGCAAATTAGCCAGTTGATTGTACTTGTCCAGTAGTTATGTAGTATTTGAATTGCATGTTTACTGTATTGATTTATGGATTCATTTTTTATAGATTCCTCTTTATCGACTTTTGATTGGATTTACTAGATCGTATGATTTCATTGATTTCACTTGATTGATTGCTGTTGCATCAACATTTAGCTTGATATAGAAAATGTGGATTAGATATTGCATTGATAGCATGGACATAAATAGTTATAGAATCATTGACACCTAGTTACCTTATAGATTCAATTGATTCCTTCTTATAGATTCATTGGTTAACTACTACCTATGGAATTTATTGATCTTGCATAATAGATTCACTGTTGTTACTATTTCTGCACCGTATTGACTGCTTGCAAGGATTCACTGCTTAGAATAGATTGAGATTTATCGTACTTTTTCCACTCATTTGATTTCATTGGATAGATATATTGAATTAGAGCTGTATGATTTTCATTTGGTCGATTGATTTGACCGATTGAATTGATTTCCTATTGGTGTACGGATTGCTTGAGATATGACATTGGATTTATTGAGTTGATTTATCGATTCGCTGCCGCTGCATTTGACTGGTTTTATTGACTATGATTTCTGTTATGCATGAATTCATGACCATTGACTGATATGGGTTGATTGACTGCTATGCATAATTGATAGCATAGCGTGCTTTGATTTCATGTATGGGTATTAGTGACCTCTGGGCTTGTAAAGCCATTATATGTTGGTTATTTTTCAGGTCAGGCAAGGGAGCAGAAAGATAGAATTTGATCCGGATCTTCAAGGTTTTTTGTCTTTGATGATTTTGATCTTTTTGTACCAGGATAGATTTCATACTGTGATTGTAGTGTAGTTCCCTAAGTATTGTACAGACCTTTTGAAATATAGAATCGATTGATATTGATGTTTAAATTTTATAGATGTTGATAGACTTGTTAATTGAAGGTTTTGAATAACTCTGGTAAATTGTTTGAAAGAAATAGATTGACCATTATTTCCAAGTTAGATCTTGACGTGACATATTCCCCTCAAAAAATTATTTTTAGCTACCCTAAATTATATTTCTGTAAGAAGTATTCCATTGATGAAACATTTCTTCCATGGTGGAAGACTTATCCATATCTAGTTTTCTAATTGCGTCCATCTCGCCTTTCAACACATCTACCTTCTTTGTTTATTCACGGATTCTAGGTTCCAAACCACAAAAAAAAACTAACTTAGGTCTCAACAGTAAAAAAATCAGGCAAACTCGGGGAGATATGCAATAAAAATCAGCAATGAGAACTAAGATTTTTGGTCCAGGACACCACTATTGATGCCAATTGATATGCTTGAAGAAGACAAATATAAACAACAGTTGAAAAATGACTTAAATATTAATATTAATGATTTATTTGGATATAATACTTCAATTTCAAAGCATTATATATGTGATCTATAATTCAAGAGGTAGTCGGGCTTTCCCAAACAACTAGATGCAACAGCTGGAAGCAGTGCTTTAAAAACCGGACCGGACAAGGCCGGTTCGACCAGGCTTCAACCGTGACCGGTCAACAATGCTGGTCCGGTTCAGCTCTTAAAAACCGCTTCATGCAAAGAACGGACTGAACCGGTCAGGGAATCGCCAGTTCAACCCGCCGAACCCGGAGAACCCGGGTTCCGGTTATTTGTTTGAACCGGCCCGGTTCTCAATATCTCATAAAATTTTTTTAAAGTATTTTTTAAATAAAATTAAATTAATATTAATATATATTAAAAATATTAAATTAAAAATTAATACATTTATATAATATTACTTATGTACTCAAAAGCATCATGGACACATCTTCACATGACCTCCCATGTGCCTTCTCTTTGTAGCCAAGAAATCTTAAATATCGGCTATATTAACAAAAGCAAGAGAGGGTTTATTCTAAGGGATAGTAGGTACTAAAGAAAAGAGAAGTAGTGAATGAGTTCCATAGCATATATATAATGGGGATATAACCATCTATTTTAAATCTAGATTTTTTTAATTAATTATTTTTTATGGTGAGTGGGTATGATTTATTTATTAGTAACAATAAAAAATTTATTTATTTATAATAATAAAAATAATTTATCATATAATTTTATTTATTTATTAATGATTTTTAAATTATAAATTTATAAAATAACTTTTGGTATACAATATATCATAAACATGTAAAAATATATTTATCATAATAATATAAAATAAGAATAATTTATATTAAAATTTATAAACTTATGTTGAAATTAAAATTTATATTTAAAATGTAACCATAAATAATAATAATATATTAAATTATATGGTGGGTCATATCTGCCATAAATTTATAGACACATTGTATAACAAATTGCACAGCTATTCAGACATTCTTAAGAAAGTTAGTGATATTCTCTAAGTTTTGGTAACGTTTAGAGCATTCTCATGCTGGCCGGAGAATTCTACGAACGATAAAATACATTCGAAAGTTCTTAGTGACTGGTGTGCTGATGAGATCTCGATATCTTCTAGCCGAATAACGTGTAGATCTGTTGATAGTAATCCTGAATCGTCTATGACCGACCGGCTATGGTGTAAAGATCTGTTTGTAAATGATTAACTTCTTATAGCTTATAGATGAGTGCTACTGCACTGCGAGTCATCTCCAGTTTAGCGCTCGATACGAATTATTCTGTGTATGTACCCAGAATTCGTATATGATATCACCTTGTTTACAATCACAACAGTACCTGATATAACCTGAGTTCCTTAGGTTGTGATAATCACGTTCAGACCTCGAACTCACCGAATTTTGGCGGTGTTAGGAACTTGGGGCGAACCCGTCCGAGGACCGAAGCCGAGACCTCCCAGTAGGTATATCTTGCGCCTGATGCAGCGATGGCTCAGGCGCTCTCCCATCACAGTATCTCTTCATAGCATGACCCGTCTACTGGCATACTAGCCGGCAGCCCCATGTCCATCAGACAGGAAATCGACGACTCCTAGAACACCACGCACTTCTCCGAGAGCTAACTCTGGTCAGAAGTGCCGAACCTAGCAAGCAGCAGTAGAATCTTAACCTACCAAGGTTTATAGCTACTCTGTCCCGACGTAAGTCTCGATACCTAAATCCGGCAGGCCCGCAGCCGTAGATTTATACACCGACTTTCCCCACTAGATATTTCTGGAGTTGTGAAGATCTAGCGTCAAAGTGGTCGAGAGGACGGCCAGCAGTCCTTTCCTAATGATCACTGGCTCTCAGACATGAGAACCCTGAACGAGCGGCTCGCAATGACATTCCGTGCGACGTGACGGGGGTCGGGCTTCTCGGGGCTCGCAATATCCCGCGCGAACCCATAAATCGATAAGTCCGCGCAATGTGGAATTGGTAGTGTCGTGTACTTCAGGGTCGACTACCAAGCGCTCGAGTTAGTGTGGACTTTTCCCCAGTACGACGGGGAGAAGATCCAAGTCGAATTGTACGGTTGTGGTTCTTTGCTACCCCCGAACCCGACTCCGGCTATCCGTGGAGGTCTGTGTGGTGATAACGGAACCCACATCACCCCGGGGGGAGACTCAGCCTTAAGAGATTGTGTAAAGCCTCTGGCCTGCTGGGATTCCATACGGTGTTAGGCGCAAAGCCGCAAGCGTGTGAGAGGAAGGAGACGATAGCGAAGGACGACGGAGAATTAGGGAGAGACGTCAGATGGAGAATTTTGCCGCCATTTTACCTGGGTATTTCCTCTCCTTCAATGAGTGAGCAGAGGCAAATTACTGTACTGCCTACGCATGAAAAATAACTAACCTGGAATGGCGTGTCTGCAGAAAAAACCCCAACTATGGAGAGAAAACGATCTCGCGCGTGACGAGGAGGCGCGAAACACAAGTGCCGATCGGACGCCGGATGAGGCGACCCAAATATGTTGAAAACGATAAGATTCACAAGAACACACTTGAAGCAGATGTACCGTAAAATTACACTAGCTATATTTAAAAGTCTCGATTTCCTATTCATATATACTGTGAACTCGTTGAGACAATTCATCGGCTACGATTCATAGGTATAAGACAGGTGATAGCTTTTTGATGCTCTCTGGACCTCTCAGAGTCAGCACTCTAATCGTGCACACGTCCCTAAGAATGGCGGACAATAGTTACTAAGAGGCCGGATCACAGGACGGGACCAGAGACCACTGGTACGGATAGTCTCTAACAAAGCAAAAAGAGACATATCAGAAGAGCACAAGGTCCTCGGGCTCAATCGACCGGCCATGTGACGGATTTTGTGACCAGGCGGCCTCGGACTAAGCCGGCTCTCCGTAGTCTGGATACAAGATTAGGGATTGTCGGATTTAGGCTTAAAATTCAAGCCCAAATCTCATGGCAAATGAAAGCCGCTGTAGACGCAAAAATTCTGATTTTCGAGGCTACAATCTCGGATTTTTCAAAAGTCCTGTTTTTTTGACCGGATGTATGAAATCATTGGCTCGAGAAGGTAAGATTTAGCTGGTTAAATCCCGCTCGTTAGAAATCGGCCAAACAACCACATCAAGATTTAATAGGATTTTATCATGAATGTTACCTTAACAATTTCAGGATTTAGGCCTTCAAGATTTTTCGAAATCCGAATTTTAGGAGGATTTACGAAATCCTCTACTTAAATCCCAAATATGGGTGCCTAACCAAACAACCCGTTACGGAAGTTGCAACAATATTATACCTTTAGAGATGGGAGGAAATTATTAGTGCGGGAATTTATTACGTAGCTCGTCTTCATGCTTCAATGTGCAATAGGGCTGGTCAATATTTGACACGACACGAAAAACCCGCACCCCGTTAAACTCCGGGTCGGGCTTTGACGGCCGGTTCGCACAGATTTGACCCGGCTTTGAAAGAGCCAATGGAGTCCGGGGTCTCTGAGGTTGACTTACGGTTGTCGGTTCCACCTGAAAAACCTATTCTAAAATTGGAACGGGCTTTTACTCCCGGTGGCTCGCCGCGCACCCAGGCCGAGCTCACCGAGCCATCCGCGGCACGCACCTGCCCGTGTAGGTTGCACTACACGGGGCGGCCGCGAATCCCAAACAATTCCTCTAAGCCAAGTACTAAAGCCACGGAGTCTTTCGACCCTGCATTACGCGCTCCCTCTAAGCCCCTAGCAGCGCACCCGCCCCGGGTCGGTCCAACCCGAACCCTGACCCGGCTCCCTCTCACGCGTTCAAGCCCCCAAACCCTCCTCAACATTCCCCAGATCTCGGGCCCGAAAAGCCAGTGCCCGGAGCTTGTCGGCCGCTCGTTTTCGCGCGCCGGCTCCGCTCTCGCACCCGGTTCGGCGATCAATCTAATCTCTTACACAGCAGGTCTTACTCCTAATCGTAATGCGGGATTCGAGGTCAACCCTGCTTGCTAACAATCCTCCGCACTAAATCAACTGAAATAGCCCCTCCTGGATTCTGCCCCCCTCGCGCTCTTTGGCTTCGGTGTGCCTGTCTGGCGAGACATGATTAGTCCAGATCGGCCCGTTTCTAACCCTTCCTTGGCCTTCCTACCCCCGAGGTTCTGTGCCTACTAAGGGTTGCCTTGTTTATGTTGGTCCATGACTCCAAATTTTAGAAGCCTCAAGCGTCCAATACAATTCTTTCACTTAAAAATCGCCAGGGTTGTTTCCCCCTCACAGCTGGAACCCGAGATATCTGAATGATCTTACAACAAGCTAAAAGTTAGAGGTATTATCGACCCCACCCAGAAAACATTCCCAATTGACAACCTACTGTTACCAAAAATTCCTAATTGTGGACAACGAAGGCATAATACACCTGCCCTTTCTTTTATATACGACATGTATCATATGTGAAATATTTATTGAGATTTTTTACGTTTACTATGAGAAAAATGTTGTACATTCCATTATTACATATGTGTAAGTAATTCAACAAATCACTCCTATTATCTTACGAGAATTTATTCGCATTAATGCACATCTTTTATAATTTTTCATATATCAATGAGTCGTAAAGCTGATATCACACCTGAATTATATGTACATTTAAAAGCTATGGAACTAAGAGCAACCAGAGATTATTCATAGATGTCAACGATTTGCAAAATATCGAGGGACCTCTGTACATTACGTGAAAATTGTTGTATATGATGACTCAAGTGACTCAGCGCATATTTCTAACAGACATGTTTGGACTGAATAGCTACATTAGATGATTCTCACTGATTACTCTTATGAAGATTTATGATATCAAGAGAAATTCTTTCCATATCTTCATTAAGTTACCTCATTATGAGAGTGATATATTTCTGTGAAACATCGAAGGAAATCTTCTTTAAATTTTTGGGATTTTATATATCATATATTCAAGTTATTTTGTAATAGAGGACCAAATCTTCTTTTCAATCCTTTGATCTAAACTACTCACATTAAAATCAAACTATTAAAATATATTTACTTTTTTTGTAATTAAATATATCTAAAGAATAATGAAGCATGAAACTGAATAAAGGTCCTATGTATATAGGTTAATGAAGCCAGATAAAAAAATATTGATGACATATTATCTTATATAACCAATATAATATTTTCAAGGGTAAATGTCCAACAATTTATATAATAATGTCCTTGTATCCTATAAGTGTATATTAACTAAATTAATGAATTATATTTTATAAATATTTTAGAATTATATATATTAAACTTATGTATTAATTTACTCTAGAAGAGGAAAGATTGAATGAAGGGGCTGTTCACAGTGACGAGAATATGACCCTTTATTATTAGTCTATATAATTGAACTTATTATTATTTTGTGCCAGTTCTGAAAATACACTATATATAAAAACAATTTATTAATTATTGGCTATAGTATACTTAATCTTCTCACTTACAACATATGAAATTTGGTCATCTAAAAAAAATTCAAATATATTTTATTTTAAAACATTGTGAATACCCGGCCTATAATTGCTTTCAAAAAATTAATCTAACCGGTAACAAAGAATAAAAGTTTATAGTACAATTAGAACCTCATTGTCCACAAAGACCTATCATAAGGAGATTTCAAAAGTTTTATGTGAAAAAATTGGAAGAAAAAAAAACTATGGTATTGATCCACTTAAACATATTATATTAATGTTTTTGCCATCGATTTACAAATGATGTTTATTTCTTGCCAATGGAAAAGATGTTCGTATCAATATAAACACTTAAACCATATAAATGAATATTGTGGTGGAACTCAGCTATCTTTCAAGAGATTATTGATATATGTTTGTCTTCTTCTTTATGGAGGGCAACCAGAGACCAACAATTTTGATGCTGATATTGAGAGCTAGAGTTTTGGTGTTAACAACACGCATTCAACCTTGCTATGGTTGATGCCGCATGCCAGTGCTTGTTACGCTATTAAAGACAGTGGATGGACAAAGTGATGTGGGCGCTAGTGTAGCCCAGGGAAAAATAGGTTAAGGCGAAATATAATAAAAGAAGATTTTATAGTTGAGTGGCAATTGTTAGGAAGAATCGTAGTCAGGCGATGATGTTTGGATGATCCCAAAATGGGCCCAATTAGAAGACTATGAAATTAGGCCCAGGGTTGATAGTAGTTTGGAGGATCATAGCCAATGGTCAAGAGTAGGGATGTTAAGTAAGTTAAGCTAACTTAAGCTCTACTCGATAAATGGCTCGATGAATTAATCTTGATGAACTAATGAGTCAAGCTTGAGTCATTGCCCTCGACTTGGCTCATTAGCCTTGCTAAGCCAGCTCATTAAAAAAAGTATTAAGATAAAATGCACTTAAAACATATTTAGAATTCAGAGTTCAAGCTAAAAACTATTAAAATAATTAAAAAATTATATCTTAGTTTCTTATATGAAGTGATTCGTTAGTATTTGTTTCTAATTTTTCATTCATTTTATAATTTTATTAATAATTGTTTTAAATCAAATCATTTTTTTCTATGCTCGATGAGTGATATGAAACTTATATAATTAAGCTACTAGCTTAAGCTCAAACTCCATAATTAAGCAAGCTTAAGGCTCAGCTAGGGCAACTTTCAAACTAGACTCATTTCACCCCAAGTAGGAGGGTTAACAGATCTGATTCCATATTTCCTTTAGTGGCTACAATTTTATTGAATTTTTAATTAAAAAAGTTATGCTTGGTATGAATATTTAACTAGAAAATTATAAAATATTTGTTTTGGCAAACTCACCGAGCATAATTATGGATTGAAAATGAAGTCCACTATAGAAAGAATCGTAGATAAAGTCAGATCGATTTATGAATAAGTTGTAGTCCCCAAACACTTATTTGCGGTCCGTGATGATATATGTTGCGTATAAGTGAGTGGAAGTATTCACTTATGCTTGGCACGCAACAAAATAAAGGTGTTATTGAGATCACCGAATGGTTGGATAGTTTAGATTGAACTAATGGCCCTACTCACCCACAGAAAAGACTTTAATTTTCTGTTTCCTTATATTTATGGTGGTGTGGCACGACGTTTCTCTAGAGAGAGGACCTATAAGTCGTTAGGGTTGGACTAGGTGGATTCCTCATCTTACTGTCGAATGCTTAGGTATATCTCAATTCATGTGTAGTCAAGTTAGAGCTCCATAAATACAAAGCGAGTCATAGTGTACTCTGCAGCAAGCAAGATAATTGAAAGGACCAAAGTTTGGTGATCGGGATGATTGATCAAGGGACTTATAATTGGGTGTAAGAGCTCCTATGGTCATGAAGATTTCATAATCAAGCAATGAGCGTCAATGAAATTGTAAACAGCAATGGTGGTCAAATGCTTGTAGTTTGGAATAAGACAGAATATGAGATAAAGCAATAGAGTGCTCATGTTACTGCTCCATACCTAGTTGACCATGTGCTATTGGTGCTTACCGTTCAGTGAATAGCAGATAAGAGAGGTGCACCCCCATTCTTTGATACAAACACATAATGGGGCGTCCTCCGAGACAGCTCACTCACACTGACGAAAACCATGATGTTTATGAGTTCAAAAGATTGGGTAGACT